AAAAAATAAATAAGATTTTAGCAGCCCTCCAAACATAACACATACAGACAAAATATCAGACTGATACAAATGTGGAGTGGTGGCACTTTATCCTTAAATATCATCATTAATAAAAAAAAGGTATAGAGTTCCAAGTTGCGCTCCATACAGTGTTGCCAGCAATGTAGCTCAATGGTGCTTTTAGTGACAGCAATAGAGGACGCCATGCATTGACTGCAGTCTTTGTATGGCACATGCATGGGAGGAGTCGGGCTACGGTGCAGTGTAATGTGCCTATTGCGCTGAATGAGCCAGCCACCACAGCCCCAGATGGCAGGACATGATTATCCTGCGATCTGGTATTATATAGGAGGTTCTTTACGTGTTCTTCATGCCTTCTACATATACATAATACATGTATATGTATATACATAATTTATGCCATACTGGGTTATTTCGAGTTGGCATTTTTGGCAGGTTTATTGCATCGCTCAGGAAGCACACAGTAGGTTGTTAACGGTTACAGGATGGTATCCATCTGATTTACATGTACATGCTGTGTCACTATGCTGCCTTGAGGAAGTCCAAGTCCTGAAACATTGGCCTAACTTACTTAATGTGACACTGCAAGTAAAGAAAAATCACGTTAAACTGTGACTCTTCTCCTTCCAGTCTTTAATTAAATAAAAAAAAAAAAAATTAAAAAAAAAAAGATATTCAAAATGTTATAAGCACCTGCACAGCCCTTTCCAGTGAGCAATCTACTTATCTGAGGCCCAGGGCACCTTTTAAAGTGAACCTGTGTTCTCTGGGACTCCAGTACACTATTTGAGAAGGTAATACAGTCAAGGTAGAAGACACCTTATGGTGTGCGCTGTATTGCAATATTGTATTGTTACATTGCTGCTTATTAAGATGCTACAAGATTAAGTCATTGTTTACATATAGCGGTCTCTGTCATGGGATAACTGCCTCTAATCACAGTCACAAGATCTATGACTGGCTTCCTCTGCTCACTGATCTGCAACACAAGTCTGATCACAGAGGAAAAGGATATGCCAGGAGCTTATAAAGCTGGAACTATACTGATTACCATGATGGATAGTCACAAAGGTATTAATTATCTTATTCCGTTTACAGGAGATGCAGCCATAAGCGCTTCAGTAATTCATTACCGTTTAGCTTCAGCTCTACAGGATTCAGGCTGTTCCACTTTCTGAGAAACAAATGGCCTTTGAACTGCTGCTGTATTTTGTTCAGAAGTCTTCTGAGATCGCATCAAAGCTGCATATCTGCAATAAAAAGGAATAATAAAGCCACAAACTTTGCAAAACAACCGGTAATATTCTAAAAGACCCCCACATCTAAAACCGAATCAATGTAGAAGTGGACTCTAACTGAAGGAAATGTTATCAAAGTATCAAACAATTACAACGATTTATGAAATTATTTGCTTTCAAATGTTTCCCCACCCTTTGTGGCATCCCTGTGTCAGAGTCCCTGCAGCTACTTTTTGTCTACATGCATGATGGCTGCCTTGCATTTCTTAGGTAGGGATTACTGCTGGTGACAACACTGCATCATGCCTGTGTAATGCATATTGAGAATTAGGGATGCACCGATACAAATATCGGTCTCGGTGCCGATACCAAGTCTTTGGCCGAGTACTCGTACTCGTCCCAAATGCTTGCGATACTTATCCCATTACCGGAACTTCCAGTATCAGCAAGCCAGGAGGCGAGTCATTACATGCCGCCTGGCTTCCCGATTGGCCAGGAAGCAAGCTCCATGCTCCCTTGGTGACGAGGGAGCATGGAGCCGACTTCCCGCCTAATCAGGAAGCCGTAAGGCGTGTAATGATTCACCGCCAGGCTTCCTATTTTGGCCAGAAAGCTGGCTCTGTTTCATCGTCACCTGGTGACGAGGCAGCATGGAGCCGGCTTCCTGGCTCATAAGGAAGCCGAGCGACAAGTCATTACACACCGCCTGGTTTCCTTAATGGGACTACCAATATCGGTGAGTACTGAAAGCAAAATATCGGTACTCGTAACTGAAAAAAGGTATCGGTGCATTCCTATTGAAAATGCCACTTGAAGTCTCCTTCAGGAGGTTGTGTGACGAGGCAGGAGCACAATTGGGAGACAGGGACAGAGCGTTGTCACCCTATAACTGAAAGTGCCTGCAAGATTCTTTGTGGCAAGATCACCAAGTATTCTTTTAAGCTGCAGATTTAAAAATATTGAAATTGACTTTTGGAATTATATAAGGCTTGGATCACTTATACTGAATGGCACCCCAACACACCCTGCCAACGAATACGTGTTGCGGTGTACTGCCAGAAAAGGTGCATGTCCGTATTCTGGGACGGTGAAGTGCATTGTAGGTTGATTAACTTACAATTGGCTGCCCAACGCAGAGTATGTTAGCGGTCAAAACCCAACCCAGTGGGAAAGTGTGAACCTGTTAAAGCTTATATAAAATTTGAATGATTGGGTTTACATGTAATTTAAACATCAAACATTTTTGAGCAAGCAAAAAACAGTGCAAGGACAGCGCAAGAGAAATTAACACTAGACATAGAATGATATATCTAATATAAAATGTGCACGACAGGCTAGGTTTTTGTGTGAAGAACCGTGACGAGGTATTCTACAGTCCATTTCCATATAAAAGTAGCTTTTAAATTCCCTTTAAGCCTTCCTTATCTGGTCCATTTTTATAGGTTGAACCTTTCTTGAGAACAGAGTGGATATGGAGTACAAACTCTACAGCCAATCATTTCTCCCTTCTGGAAAAAGGTCTGAGCGGACTTACCCAGCTTTGGAAAGTGCTGGCCCTGTGGTCCTGCAGTCATGATCTTGTGAGTGTCTATGAGACAGGCAGAAATTATTGTGACACTGATCGCATTCAAACTTTATCAGCTCCTTCTTTTTGCATCCTGGTTTACAGCAACGATTTGTGAAAATCTGGAGATTTAAAGTAAAACTGACAATTAAAGATAGGAAACCATAGAAATGGTCAGTCTGTGTAATATCTTGGTATTTTTTTTTAAACTTTACTTTAATTGCTATCACATAGGAGGGGGGAGGCAAATACGCCCCAAAGAAGCTCCTGTACTTTGTGTGTAGGGCGTTTTACAGCGTTACTACGCACTGTAAAACGCCAAGTTGGGAACCATGCCCATAGGCAATTATTGTTTTTCACATGTTGAGCGTTTTACAGCGCGTAGGAACGCGCTGTAAACCGCCCAGGTGTGAACCAGGCCTAAGGTGATGCTGTGGGTCCAAAAGACCCCTAGCATCACCTTTATACTCTAAATAAGCTATTGAAGTGCAGTTTGCACGGTTACCGGATAATAGAAGCGATCTGGCTGCATCTGAGCCGCCATAATTGCTTCTACAGTAAAGCCGGTCACCGACTCGACAAAATGGAGCAGACTCAGCAGCGTCTTTGTAACCCCTTCCGGCTTCATGACAGGATTATCCCGTCATAGGTGGTGAAGGAGTTAAAAACTAACCAAAACCTTAATCTTTTTCCGCAAACGATGTTTGACCTGAACTTACAGGTTGTGGTAGGAGCAATGCTCTGCTCTAAACAGACTACATTTCCCATGATTCATCATTCCTGCATTCCACAATGCACATGTGTCCCCATTACCATACATTTGCTGTGCTGGATCTGCCACAACTTCCCCTCTTTTCCTGGTTCCGCTGTCACTCCAGAAGCCCATGAGTGGTGCTGTAATGAATAGGAGCTTTTCAGTGCTTTTATGGATGTACTGTAGTCCATCTTAAAAGCACAGAGAAGATTGGTTACATTCCAGACACCATGGAGCCATGTACAGCTAGTCTAGCCACCCTCATAATGAAAGTGTGATCAGGAGCTTTTACATTTACATTTCTATATGTACTATGTGATGTTGCTATTCCAAGGTACATAGGTTGCAACAAATTAGGATATAGAATATGATATGTTTTTTGTATTGGGTTTAGTGACACTTTAAGTATGTGGTCACTGAGGTTGTGATGCCCAGTGTGCAACACTAGAAAGTGTTAGGTATACAAAACTGGCTTCCTCTACAGGTAAAAAGTCTTTACACTAACTGTCATTGTCTATACCAGCAGTGCATGAATGCGGGTTCACAGTAGTTCTGGTGGGCTATAGAACTGTAAACACCTGCTATCAGGTGCAGCTAGTCCAACACTTAGACCAGGAGCTTCACTCAGCTCATGGGTTTGCATTCCTACTACAAAGCGCTCCAGAGAAGCTCTCTTGGCAGAACAATGCTTTACCAATGTGTTTAAAGGGGAAGTGCCGTGAGGTCATCAGCACTTCCTGTCATTGCAGGAAAAATAAATATAAAAAAAATACATGACATTTATAAATGATGGATAAAAAAAAAAGAAAAAGAAAAAAAAAAAAAATCACTCTCCCCGTTAACTGCTAATTTCCAACAAACGTTTGAATGCTGTGGATGACATTTGTGTTTACTATGCGAGAGTTTAACACTGAGGCCAGGTTCACACCTGGGCGATCCGTGACCATGCGGCAATTGTGCACGAAACCGCGTGGTCACAGAGTTGCACACCACCGCTGATTGTGCAGGCCATTATTTTCTAAGGGCACCCCAGTCACGCCAGGCAGATTGCGTGGTTTGCCAACGCAAATTCGACTGGGCAATCGCGCACGATCGAGATTGGAAAACCCACGCGCTGAGTGTCATGAAAAAAAAAAAAAAAGGTACAAGTACCTTTTTTCAGTGATTGCCTCGTGGATGTCACCCCATTGAAGACAATAGGGCCGCAGGGCAACTGCTGTGTGCAAGCGCACACTATCACGCGGTCCCGGGATCAGCCAAGTCTGCACCAGCCCACACATAACTGCTTACAATGCTGTCTAGCAATGGTGCTGTAGTGAATTGCTCTCCATGGAAACCAGACTTGATGTTCTATTACTCTAACAGATTTACATGCAGACATTGGTTTTGTTCCACGTCTGCATCACAACTGATGTAATGTCCCAGAAGTAAAGTTGTAAGCCAGCGTTACATAAACTCTAGTACTATATGTAAACTAATGAGCAGAGTGGAGAATGAAGAAAACAAAATGAAACAAACCTTTTTTCTTCGCTTCGAGCTGCACTTTCTGTCTATGTGTTGGCTTACTGCAATGTCTGGCAGCTCTCCTCTTTTTACTGGTATAGGAGCGCCACACAGTGGACAGACCGGTACTTGCACATCCTTAAAAATAGATACAAAGAAGCAATACTATTAACACATACATGACATATGTATTCTAGCTATGTATTGCTACAAATATCATTACTGAAGTAGTGAATGACATTCACTGCAGTTGAATCTTCCTGGGAATGTGTTTTAATATATATGTGGCAACTCAGTGGCTTAGTAGTTAGCCTTGCAGCACTGGCGTCCCTGGTTCAAATCCTACCAGGGTGGAGTCTCGGTCACACACTTATACATACATTCATCACAGGTCTGGCAGCAGAGAGAAGTTAAAGCATCAGCGTTTTATTGTCTATGTTTGTAGAGCTCTTGATCTAGATGGACTGAGCTCCATTGAAACATTGACAATAAAAAGCTGACGCTTTGACTTGTCTCTGCTGCCAGACCCATGAGTGCCTCAATGCCTACTTTTGGACATACGCGCAAAGGTTTTAGGCAGGTGTGCAGTAATGCTGTAAAGTAAGAATGCTTTCAGAAATAGAAGTGTTAATAGTTTATTTTTTATCAATTAACAGAATAGAAAATCAATATTTGGTGTGACCGCCCTTTGCCTTTTAGAACAGCATTAATTCTTCTAGATACACTTGCACACAGTTTTTGAAGGAACTCGGCAGGAAGGTTGTTCCAAACATCTTAGAGAACTAAGCACAGATCTTCTGTGGATGTCGGCTGCCTCAGATCTTTCTGTCTCTTCATGTAATCCCAGACAGACTCAATGATGTTGGGATCAGGACAGAAGGCAGCTTGTTTGCCACAACAGTGAAGCATGGTGGAGGTTCTTTGCAAGTCTGGGGCTCCAAACATACAGACAATGTAATTAAGAACTACCTTCAGCATTAGAGATGCACCGATACCAGTATTGTTATTGGTGCCAATGCCAAGTATTTGGGCCAATACTCGTACTCGCCCAAATGCTCCGATGTCTAGCCAGATACTTTCGGTATCAGGAAACCGGGCAGCGAGTTATTACATGCTGCCCAGCTTCCCGATTGGCTGGGAAGCCAGCTCCATGGTCCCTAATCACAAGTGACGAGGGAGCATGGAACTGGCTTCCCAGCCAATCAGGAGGTCGGGCGGCTTGTAATGACTCGCTGCCCGGTTTCCTGGTTGGTCGGGAAACTTGCCAATCAGGAAGCCGGGTGCCTTGTAATAACGCGGTGCCAGGCTTTCTGATTGGCCGAGAAGCAGGCTTCATGCTCCCACATTACCTCATGACGAGGGAGCATGGAGCCGGCTTCCTGGCCAATCAGGAAGCCGGTTTCAAGCTTTCTCGTCACCGACCAGAAGCATGGAGACTGCTTCCCTGCTAATCAGGAAGCCGGGTGGCGAGTCTTTATACGCTGCCCGGCTAATCAGGAAGTCAGGTGGAGAGTCATTACACGCTGCTTGGATTCCTTAATGGGACTTCCGATATTGGTATTCAGTATCGGCGAGTACCGGGGAAAAAAAATAGCGGTACTCAATACCGAAATACTGGTTTTGGTGCATCCCTATTCAGCATAAAGGAGTCCTGGAAGTGATGGTTGGGCCCCCACAGAGCCCTGATCTCAACATCATCATGTCTGTCTGGGATAACATGGAGACGGAGGGATTTGAGGCAGCCGACATCCACAGAAGATCTTTGGTTAGTTCCCCAAGATGCTTGGAACAACCTACCTGCCGAGTTCTTTCAAAGAAGAATTAATGCTGTCTTGAAGGCAAAGGGCGGTCACACCAAATATTGATTTGGATTTCTCTTCTGTTTATTTACTTTCCATTTTGTTAATTGATAAAAATAAACTCTTAAAACACTTGTGTGAAAGCGTTCTTACTTTACAGCATTACCGCACACCTGCCTAAAAGGCACCAGTAAAAATGCGATGTATATGATCTCCTATTTAATTTTAGCACTATGGGAGTTACAGTAAATATACCTTCTTGTATGCAGAAGTACATTTATGCTGGCCATAGGTTATGTGGTCCTTGCAAAATAGGTCCTCACAAGCATCACATTTCAGAGGAAGAAAATCTGAAAAAGGAGAAAACCACCAAAGTTTTGAACGTTAACATGAAATTATTTTAGACTATGAAGATGTTGAACATAATCTAATTTCTGCGGGAAGGACATCCAACCCAAATATAAATTGTCATTGACATTTCCTGGCCATCTTGAACAGGACTAAGCATTACTAAAAACACATTCCCATTGTGAATATTAGATGGCAAGGAGTAAAGCCCGTGACCATGCACTGGATTTACAAGATGGAATGTCAGTAACAGACTAAGAGCCTGTGTTGATGGGCTTCATTGGGCAAATGCAGCATTCATTCAACATCAGTCTGAGATGCCCCTAAGCTCATCCAGAATTAATTACTGGTAGGGATGCACCGATACTGATACTAGTATCTGTGCCGATGCCGAGTACCCGTACTCGCCCAAATGCTCCGATACACCTTTCCCGATACTAGAACTTCCGGTCTGAGGGAGATTTCCTCTGACCGGCAGTGCCGTGAGGAAAGATGGAGCCGGGAAGCTGGCTCCATGCTTTTTGGCCTGCTCAATGCTGATCGGCTTCCCAACCAATCAGTGTCGAGCCGGGCAAACAAATCCGATAATATAGCGACATGACCCCCCACCCTGCAGGCACCTAATTCCCCTTACATAGATCCTTAGCATTCTTTAACGTACCAGTCCCTCGGCCATATCTGCTGTCTACAGTGTTCAGAGCTCAGCCTGCTACTGAGCATGCACAGGATTTCTGAATGAGAGCACTGGGCAGTCTGCGCATGCGCAGTAGCAGGCTGAGGGCCGATCACATGGGCGCTGTACACACAGGAGACGTGGGCAGATTCGGACGAGCGGCGTCTCCCCAGCTGGCCCAGGGACTGGCACGTTAAAGAATGCTAAGGATCTACATGAGGAATTAGGTGCCTGCAGGGTGGGGGTCGTGTCACCATATAGTCAGATCTGTTTGGCCGGCCTCGATGCCAATTTGCTGGGAAGCCGGCAATCAGCATGAAGCCGGCTTCCCGGCCAATCAGCATCCAGCCGGCCAAACAGAATGGAGTCGGCTTCCCGGGCAATCAAGAAGCCTTCCTGGCTTCCTGATTGCCCGGGAAGACGGCTCTATGCTACCGGAAGTACAGGTATCGACGAGAACCGAAATATAAGTATCGGTACTCGATACCGAAAAAAGGGTATCAGTGCATCCCTAATTACAGGTGTAGTTGACCTGCTTCAGCTTATTTTGCATTCCTATAGAACTGTATGGAGAGAGAAGCAGTTCTGAAGCCAACAAAAGCCCGTTGACACAGGCCCTTAAGTTCATTTTCCTTAATTCTGGTGTGTTTGCAGAAAGCTCCTTACTTCAGACGGCGCATGAACACGATTGTAAAGTGGCGTCTATGAAGGGCAGGAGTGCGGCTTGTAAATGAACTGAATGACATTTTTAAATAGGCCAAACTTTAGCAGGTAGTAAAAAATAAAGAAGCCATAATAATAAAGTTTCATAGAGTCTTTACTAGCCATATGGTAACCTTTCTCACTGGGGTTAAGTGTTATTCTGGAAATACAGAAAGGTTTAGTTATGGTTTAAAGCCGTGATTCTCAACTGGTGGGTCGTGACCCCATGTTCAGTGGGTCACCTCATGCATTCTAGTGCACTAGTGAGAGGCTCCTCAGCCCCCCCTTAGTGCAGCACTGTCAGTTCTCGTGCCGAGCAGCCATTCAAAATATGTTGCCTGGCACACAGTGTCAGCTTGAGGTGGGGTGGGATGGGGCTATAGCCGCGAGGGAGTCCCTTGCATGACCAGTGTGACATTACATTCTTGCTCCCTGCACCTCTACAAGCAACACACTTATGGATGGAGCTCCGTCACAGCACAACACCCCACACCGAACCCCTAAAAAGTTTTAGGGAGGGTGAATGTCTGTGAGTGTGTGACAATGTCTGTGAGATTGTGTCTGTGGTTGTGTGCGTCTTGTGAGGGTTTTCAATCACAAACTACAATGCAATCGCACCTACTGTTCTGTGTGGGAGGCGTGTTGCGTTGCCAATAATTTGAATGACACCCCAAACACACCTCCCACCCACAGTTCAATTGCTTGCACTGAAACATGCAGTACCGCAATGCCGTGCAGTCCAGTGCTGTGCGACTTGGGTCTCGACTTAATGACCAAGGACAAATGTGGGTCCTGAGGTTATACAGGTTGAGAACCACTCAAAGGGTCGTGGCTGGATCTGTACTTTTTACAATCAGCAAGAGAGTGGGCAAGTCTTAAATATGGACTCCCTATTCTAATCTCCTGTCTCTACTGATGCAAGGTCAGCCTAATAAATTCAGTTCAAGCATCATTTACAGTATCAGTATATAGAGTTTAAAGCAGAGATCCAGCCAAATAGTAAAGTTCACAGTTAAAACACATAAACATCTAAATTTACCTCTCAGAACATTTTTTCATTTTGTTCAGTCAGTCTTGTGATTCACACATTCCCGTCACATTGCATAGCCAGGTGGATGAGAGAATTCTTTAAAATCTGCAGTGGTTCAGCATTCAGTGTCCCCTCCCTGTCCCCAGTATGCTCACTCAGCACTTTCAAATACCATCACTATGCAGTGCAGTCAAATCCGACTGGCTCACAGTGCACAACCTCACACTTGCCTTGTTTTGTGGTATGCGGGAGGTAATATATGATACAGTAAAAGAATAGGGAACTTTTAAAAGGAGAACTATGGGGTTAGGGCTTTTCCCATAGTTCTCCTAAGGGTAACGGGAGGACACAAAACTAGCGTCCTCCCCTCACCCTAAGCTCAGTATACCGCAAGCTACAGCTCGCGGTATACTGAGACGCCGCAGCCGGGAAGTATCTCGACATTAATGTCGAGATCCACCCAGCTGCGGGATTGACAGCTGGCTCTGCCTATGTAGAAGCAGAGCCAGCTGTGCCCGCCCCCTCCCCCATCCGTTCCGCCAGTCAGCGCTGGGGGGATCGGACAGGGGAGGGGGGAATCCCTGCAGGGAGCCGCGAGCGACAGTCACGGCTCTCTGTAGGGATAGATCGAGAAGTGAGTGAGCGACGGTATGTGTTTGCTCACTTCCCGATCTATTGAGCCGACCTGTGACAGTTTCATTGTCACACGTCTGCTCGAACTGAGTGATTTTCACTCGCCTCAACTCTCCTTTAAAGTATAACTATAGTAAAAGTACAATAATCCATTAACCCCTTCATGACTGAGCTTGTTTTTAGTTTCTGTTCGTAAATGACTGACACACTTTTGACATTTTTGCTGTGTGATTCTTCCACGTCAGTAATATACTTTCTTACAAAGTGCACCCACACATATTATATATTGTTTTTTAGAGGACAGATAGGGCTACATATTTATATCACATATGTGCGTCTAACGCCTCACTTAGGACAAATAAAATATAAAAAAAGAGGAAAAAACCGTTTAAAAAAAACACTTTTTTCCCAGTTTTGATTTGTAGTATTTTTTTTACAAAACCAGCACAGCTAAAAAAATGCAATAAATACATTCATTTATTTGTCCCTTATTTTATTTTATTTTTTACACATTTTTTTATTTTTTTTACACTTTTCACTTTTTTTTTAACTTAAAAATGTTATTTTATTTATTTAATTATATCAAGCAGATTTTGTGAATTAATCTCACTGTTACTGCATGATAAATTAATAAATTTTTGGTTATTATCAGGCTGCTTCAAACTTCAGAACAGCCGATAATAAGTTAGTGACACTGATCCTGCAGCAGTTCAGGATTCAGCTGTTACTAAATGTTTTCTGATTGTTGCAACAACGATCAGCAAACAAACATTCTTCTTCCAGGAATAGATACATTGTAGGAATAGACACATTTTGTATCTATTCATGAAAGAAAAAAAAAAGCCAGTATAGCTTGAGAGAGATATCTCTCGATCTATACGAGCTGTCAGAATGCCGGCAAAAGCCGGCATCTGTGTCCGCTTTGCTTTGACTCTCAGACACCCGATATTAAGGTATCGGGTGTCTGAAAAAGGTTAACCCTTTCATTAATGAATGCCTCTGTAGTAAGGGCATACATTAATGAATGTTAAAAGCTGATTCTCAGCGATTAACAGCCCTCTAAAGCAGCAAATAACTCGTCACGTACAGTGTACGTGACAAGTCATTTGGTCCCTTTGTGGCTGGACGTACAGTGTACGTCTCCCGTCACGAAGGGGTTAATAGAACGATGGATTTCCAGTAACTACACAAGCAACATTTATTTAAAACAAATTATTTTTGGAAGAATACATAGCTGGATTATTGGGTTGGACTTTAGCTTTTACAGCATAGAAATAACTGGGGAAAAAGGGCAAACCTTATACCATGTCTGCCCCTGGCTAAGATGGAGGGACTATTGTAGTGGATCTCTGCACCATGCAATTCAAGGAGCATGTGGAAACATCTCACCACCCATTGTGACTAACCTGTCCGTCTATGGCCACCCTAACGTACACACTCCAATCATAGGAGACTGGCAGATACAGGAAAATGATCACTTACCTAGCTGTTTGCAGGTGACCTCTGAACAATGTTCCCCTAAGTCTGGAAATTCCATGGTACACTGGTGCTACTTTCGTTGACAATTGAAAGTCCTGAAAAAATAAAAAAATACATGATGTGATAAAGAAGAAAGAGATGAGCATATGCATGTATTATAACTAGGGATAAGCTCCGGTTGGGGGCAAACCTCTATACACCGAATTAAGTTCCTTCCGCTGTCGCCCAACAAGCGGCGGCCAGGGAATTCCCCACCCACAGCTGAACATAAACAAAGGGGCGGGATGCCGTGATGTAACTGATCTTATATGGCCGCATGACTATATTTGGCCAATGACACTGAACTACAGATATTCCTCACTTTACGACTTACCTGCTTTGCGACCACTCGCACTTACGGCCAGCTCTCCGACCTTACGCGCGGGAACGTGGCAGCGCGAGTCTCGCCGCCGGAAGTGCGGTACTCAGTTCTCCACTGCGGGTCTCGTAAGTACTTTATTGACCGATTTACAGAACAGTACTGTACATCTGCAACACTATACAGTACAGCACTGTATACAGTTCCTCGCTTAACGACCTGGTCGTAGGAACGGAACTCGGTCGTTAAGTGAGGAATACCTGTAATATGGCAACATAGCCATAGCAGGTCAATGATGTCATCACAACCATCTGCAGCTTATTATACAGGATTTATATGGCGCCAACAGTTTGCGCAGGGCTTCACAATATAGGCCAGACATTACAATCACAATACAATTCAAGACAAGATGGTGAGGGCCCTGCCCCTGAGGGCTTACAATCTAAAAGGGAGGGGAAGTGATACATGAGGAGGTAGTTGCTGTGTGGGGAATGCCCTGGCCACAGCTGATTGGGCAGATGGCCCCATTCACTTTTGCATTCGGAAGAGCTGAGGCTTGGACAAGATTTGCCCCGAACCTAGGCTCATCCTACCAATTATAACCACCGCACAAAAGCTGAAGAATATCTAAATCCACAAACAAAAAATGTTGTTACAACACAACAACAGTCTACATTTTCTTTTACTTCATTGAAATGTCACAAAATTACACCTAATTCACTTCTACGCACCGCAGCAGTGACATGACCTCAATGCAGCTCTATAGTGGGAACAGGGCACAAACAATTGTTCCCTACATGATCTGGTGTTAAAGTGACACTAAAGTCAGGAGTTAAATCTTAACAAAATGCTTTCAAGTACCTTAAAGGAGAACTATGAGGCGAGTGCCTTTCACTCACCTCATAGTTCTAGCTGACCTGTGGCAATGAGACTGTCACAGTTCGGCTCAGTAGATCGGGAGGTGAGCGAACACATACTGGCATTCGCTCACTTCTCGATCCTGTCGCGGCTCTCTGCCGTGACAGGGGAGGGGCTGGAATCCCCCCTCCGATCCTCCAGCACTGGACTGGCGGAACGGACGGGGGAGGGGGCGGGTACAGCTGGCTCTGCCTCTAGATAGGCAGAGCCAGCTGTCACTCACGCAGCTGGGCAGATCCAGACATAACTGTCAGGATCCGCTTCAGCGTCTCAGTATACAGCTACAGCTCGCGGTATACTGAGCTTAGGGTGACGGGAGGACGCTAGTTTGTGTCCTCCCGTTACCCTAAGGAGAACTATGGGGAAAAGCCCTAACACCATAGTTCTCCTTTAACTATTAAAAAAAAATGTATCTTGTTTGTGTATCACTCGGCTGTAGATCCTCAAATCATCTCTGAATTGGTGCTGACACTGTCCTTCCTTCTGGAGGGGGGCTACTTTTGTTCCCCATGGTCCCTGTGTGTGTTGTAAAGTAGTAACTGTTCCAAGCTCGCTCCTGTGATGGACTACAGTCTCATGTTTAGTTTACTCATTTGTACTGAAGTTAAAGTCTATCATGGGAGTGAGCTTGGAGCGGTGGCCACTTTACAGCACACAGGGACCATAGGAAACAAAAGTAGCCGCCCTCCAGAAGGAAGGACAGTGTCAACATGAATTCAGAGATGATTTGAGGATCTACAGCCGAGTGATACACACATAAGATACATTTTTGTTAATAGTTAGGGTAATTGAATGTATTTTTAAGATTTAACTCCTGAGTTTAGGGTCACTTCAACCCTGCTAAGACCAAAACAAAAGCAGCCTGTTGATCCACCAGTCAGTATAATAGCCTCTTGCGATCCCCCAGCATATAAAGGGTGATATTATACAGAGGGCTGAGACCATTCCTATGTTATAGGACCAGAGCAGACCGCTCTACCTGTATGTGAGTCTGGAGGGGATTTCATTGTGTTTTCCTGTGTTCCCTCGTTGTATGATGAATAACCATCAGTAAAGAGTAAGATTCATAGGACAGATCCAGCCAGAAACCAGACTACACACCCAGTCCCCAGGTAAAGTATTATACAGAATCCGAGCCATAGAGTGACCACAAGTACCATTATATATTACCTGGCTGGCTGACACATAATGCGGATCGTTGTCCCCTGCAGCGCAAATATAAACACAGAATACATAAAACCCATTTATACTCTCTCACCCTCTTGTCGTCCAGCAGCTCCAGGTATCTCCAGCCCCGGCCACCCGCCCTCCCCATTATATAGATGCCGTCCCCCATGCTGAGTAACCGGCCTAAATCGCCGAGTCATCGTCCGCCCTCTCCGCCCACCGGAGCCAGAACGTTCCAGGCCGTTCCACTGGAGAACTGCTCTGTCATTCTCCGTCCAACCCTGATGACGTCACCAGATCGGTTGTTTGCTGACAACGCGGAAGTGTAACCATAGGGACGGGCACGTGCTGCATGACTGGCGGAATGTTTGTAAATCAGACGGAGATGGGCGGATTCTATATCATGTGACTGCAGGGGGATCTGGAATTTGTCAGCAGAGTCTCTAACCCAATGTTTGTGTTATGTAGATGGGAACGTTGTATATGTCACAGAGTATGACACCGGCCATACCGGGTGGACAGAAAACTTCAGCCCTCTGGGCAACTTCAGCCATCTAGCTGTGTGCGTAACTACAAATCCTAGCATGCACCTGCCTTTGGGTGTCATGCCTATGGCTACAAACACTTGCAATGCATCATGGGATTTGTAGTTCCACCAGAGCTAGAGGGACACATTTGAGGGCTTGTTCACACCAAGCGCGTTCCAGGAGCAGAGCAGTTACAGACCGGATCAAAACTGCGTCCACTGTATTCCAAGGGTATTTTGGGCTCTAGTTCACACCGCAGCGTTCAGTTCCAGAGCATGTAATAAAACTGCAGCAAGCCCTATTTTACCTGCTCTGGAACGCATGCAAACGCATAAAAAACGCATGCAAACACACGTTTTTTTCCCAAAAACGCCCCGGAACGCATAAAAAACGCAGTATAACACACTGCACTGCGCGTGCAGAAACTCATGCAGATCTGGTCTGCATTTGGTGTGAACAAGCCCTAAATTCACACTCCACGCGGTATGGCACGTGCCTTGGGTGCCACTTGGAGGGGGAAAGGGAAGCTTTGTGGGTTAGTGACAGTTTGCTGACCCATGGAAACAATTGACCTTTTTCTCTCCCATACTCCTCTCCCATACTCCTCTCCATGCCCATCTCTTAGCAACCACGGATGCTCTAACTGGTGTCCCGCCCAGCTCCTGACAACCAATGACATCAGTGGTTGCCAGCACTAGGAGCTGGGTGGGACACTAGCCAGAGCATCCCAAGTTGCCAAGAGCCCAGTAGGGAGATATGTAAGGGCCATACACATCTCCCCACCCAGCTGTTAGCAATGAAAGTGGGTGGGGTAGGGTTGCCACCTGTCCAGGATTAACCCGGACAGTCCGGGTTTTGAATGCTGTGTCCAGGTTTCATGGCAGCTGAGACCCAGACACATGATGTCAGACAGACATGCTACTAGCCCCCCACTAAAAATAGGCTCGGGGGGGCGTGGCTTGGCGCATGGAGCGGTGAGACGTGTATCGGCTCGTCTCCCGCTCACCTAGAGGGCAGACCTGTACTCCTTTCCCGCTGCATCCTTTTCTTTTTCCTGTCTTCTGTTTCCTGCTCCCCAAATAAAAACTGATTCAACACTAAAAATAGGCTCGGCTGTGATATTTACATATGAAGAAGCCGCGACTCATTCTCCCCAAAACATTTCCGTACGTCGCTAGAGTGTTTGGGTTTCGCTGAAAGAAAAGGTGGTAATCCTAGGGTGCGGAGATGTGTATGCTGGTGGGATGCCGGCTACAGCGTCCCAGGTTGCTAAGTGCCGGACAGGGAGCTGTCTCTAGCCTGACACATTTCC